CTTTGCATGCTCTATGCGAGGGTAACACGATTTGCTGATACAGTTCGTAAAGCATGAAGTTTGCCTGGTAGAGGCGGGTGTAGCAGCTAAAAGCGAAGATGTGAGGGATCGTAGGGACAATTGGAGGTTGGAGTTTAGCTATACTTGAGAGGAGATGAAGGTATAGAGAAGCAAGATGAAAACCTGGGCATGAATATAGATAATAGCTGTCATAGGTTTAATATATATTCCAAATATTACCTCAAATTAAAGTAGAAAATATTATTTTAAATAAATTAAATCAAGGTAGGGCCCATACTGATGTCGTCTATGACCTCTAGGGAAAGGGCTTCTCCTCTTATATACATATATATGTGTATATCTATGCCTATGCCTATGTCTATGCCTATGCCATATTTCTATACTTTAGGTTTATATGTAGCTATAACAGAGTATAGAGATATATTGGGGGTCACTTGTTGTGGTAATGTTGTGCTGTTCTCAGGGATGATGATGTTTATTAAATTATAACACAATTATAATAATTAATAATTATCTCCATTATTTTTTTATTGGATTAAGCTCATAGGATATTTATTATGTTACGATATATGAACGTGTAATGAGAGTAAGATCACAATTCTTATTAACTAATGATGGTAAATTGAATGATTGTTTATTATCGATAGTATCGATTAAGAATAAGCGTGGTGCCAGATCGCCACAAGAGCTAAGATATTTAATATATGGTCTGTCTATATCTTAGGTATATTACATTAACTATATATCTAGAACTTATCTATATCTTTGCTCACATATATTTTCACTGTATGTTTCTATATGTACTATAACTTGGCTATATACCTATCTAGCTCCATGGCTGCTGTATACCTTAAATTTAGGTCTTACTTACTCTTAGGTGTATACCTTACCTCCCAGCTCTCTCCACACTAGTCGCATCACTTAGCCATAGCACTTGCTCTCCTAGGGTATTGAATCTTCAGCCTGAACAAAGGCATTTTACTTTTTTATTGTGTAAATTTTTCTTTTTAGTATGTTGTATTGTTGTTGCTCAACTTAATGGCCATTGTTGTTGTTGCTGCTGCTGCTGCTGCTGCTGCGGCTGTGGCTGCGGGTCGCAACAATGGTAGACAAAAGGCGCCAACACTTTTGCATCACTTCGATTGTAATTTCATGCCCGAATTATCCTTGGGGAGACATTTACCCTAAACGAAGGCGCGCACACACACACACACACACACACACACAGCTCGAGAGACAAGTTCATGTATATAAATTTCAATAGCAAACGGCGAAAAGCAAAAGTCAAACGCTAAAGGGGGCGCGCCGAACAGGGGGGCGGGAGCCACACACACACAAACACAATACAATACAGCAATTGCAACAGCAGCAGCAGCAAGACATAGACAAACACCAATACACACACACATACGAATATACACGCACACCTTTATTATTATTTTTACACTTAACTTCCGGTTTACGCCTATTATGCCCAGTGTTCCTTTGCCACCTTTCTTCAGCCCGCCGTCTGCTGCGTCCTTCATCCAGCTCCACCTCGTCCTGGCATCAAATTACGAAATCCTCGTTCTACTCCAACTGCTGTGCATTGTGTCTGTGCGCTCTGCCTCATCGTTCGCTAGATGAAGTTATTGTCCCTGGCATGTTTTGTTGTTGCTACTGCTGATATTGTTGTTGTTGCTGTTGTTGTTGTTATTGTTGTTGTTGTTGCTGGGCGCGTGTTTTCACGTGTTCGTTCCGCATAGTTCCGTTTGATATGCCACAAAGGTGTCACAGTCAACGGCATTGTCCACATGGCTGCCACAACCTCAGTTACTCCAAGTATGTGTGTGTGTGTGTGTGTGTGTGTGTATGGCATACTTCCTCTTTTGACGCCAAAAGTTCCATTTTTTTTTGTGTGTATTTGCTTGGTATTCCCGCACGCATTGAAAGGCGCCTTTGGTCTTGCCTGCCTGACATTGAGATATCAGGCCGTACAGGATTTAGCTTATTTGGCTTTATTTAAAGTTCAAACTGGAAAGAGAGTGAGAACGAGAGAGAGAGGAAGAGAGGGAGAGAGAGGAATAGAGAGATGGCGAGGAACAGTGCTAGAGCCCATAAGCACTGCGTATTCCAACTATTACCTATAGAGTTACAATCGAATCTAGCTTGACTCGATAAGTGTGATGTTATTATCGACAGCTGCATTTCAGCAACTGCTCAAGTTATCGATAACAGTCGAGTGTGGCTGCTTAATCTTTGAGATCTTAAATTTGAAATCTTGTTACACGACTAGAGCTCAAACAGGAAAGAGAGAGAGCGTGAGAGAGAGAGAGCGAGAGAGCGMGCGAGAGAAGGACAGAGAGAGATGCCGAGCTGCAGGGCTAGAGCCAATAATCAATGCGTATTCCAACTGTTAGCTATCGAATCACTCTCGAATCTAGCTTGACTCGATAAGTGTGATGTTATTATCGATAGCAGCTGCGCAAGTTATCGATAACAGTCGAGTGTGGCTGCTTAATCTTTGAGATCTTAAATTTCAGACCTTGGTACATGAATAAGTGTCTATATACCAAATTTCCATCCAATAGACCCAAAGTATCTCACCTGTTTAGTATATCATGTAGCATAAAGTAGAGTTTGACATATATATACCAAAAATATCACTTTAAATGTATATATAAACATATACATATAAAATTTGGAAACCAATTCTTAAGTCTGGAAAGTAGAGCTGATATTTGGTTTAGTCTGATTCGACTGATTGGATTGGTTTGTTGGCGCAGTTGCTGACTTTATAGCCCAGCTAGACTTCAAATTGCTGCTACCACAAAACGCACACACATACAGAGTGACAGAGAGAGAGAGAGTGTGAGTGAGGGAGAGAGGGAGACAGCGAGACAGACGCTTTGATTGATGCGTCGTAACTTCGCGTGAAATTGCACACCAGAAAATCCAAAGCGGTGGCAGCAGGAAGCGAGCAGGTTGTAAAGGCAACAGCTACTTGTAAAAGCCAAAACAAAGCCTGGCTAAAACGGAAGCAAGCACTCATGCCACACACCCACACACCCACACACACACACACGCACACTCTTACGTGGCTGTGCTTGGGCGCCTCTCGACAGCTTTAAAATAGGAAATTAAAATTCCAATAATAGCATTACAGCCAAATGCCAGCCGCAGGTGAGCGTGTGTGTGAGTGTGCGTCTCCCACTTCTCTATGTGTGTGTGTGTGTGTGTGTGCAGCCACTTGCTTTAACTTCTATGTATGTCTTTCGGTTTTTGGCTCTCTATCTGTCTCAGTCGCTGTGTGCGATAAAAATAAATTAAGCCACAAATTGCAATTTAATTTAAGGTTTGCTTTTTGCCGAAAACCTTCCACAGCGACAACTCGCTGTGTCGCCGTTTAAGTGTTGCCAAAAGCAACCTACCAGTGCCAGTCCCGACTCACCGACACCGCCACCACCCGCCCTCCCCTCTAACTCAAACCCCAATCTTAGCTCTCCCCAGCCAGCATTTTGGTCATATTAAAATATCTTGGCACATATTTTTTGGTTGCCGCGACTGTGGCCCCTCAGCGTGTGCTGTAGGTACTGGAGCTCAGCGCTCCAGTCTCCGCCTTGGTTTCCCCTCTCCCTCTCCACCAAGCTCCCTCGGTGCGTGCGTGTTTTTGTACCGAAAATTTATGGCATTGCAATTGCAAATATAATTAAAATTTTCAGCTAGCTGCGCAGCGCAACTTTTATTTAATTTTATGTTTGCCTTTTGCTATTTCCTTTCAGCATTTAACTAAGCGTTTTTTCTGCCACATATCAGATGCTTTTCTCCCACTTTAGTCGTATTATAAAACGCTTTGCTACATATTTTTTACAGCTCTTCAATTTGCTTTCAAATTGAATTTCAATTGATAATTATCCAAAAAAAAAAAAAAAAAAAAAAAAAA